ACCACATTGACACACACACGACACAGAAATACTGCACACCACATTGGATTGGACATTTATACACAAAACACACAATACACACAGAGACACACCACACACATGCACCATACCATATACATTTATACACACACAATACACACAGGCACCACACACCACACCACACGCTTATATACACACCACATGACACACACATGTACATAGACATACACACAACACACATATACACAGACACAGCACATACACACCCACATATATACAGCACACACACACCATACCACATACATTTATACACACAGCACACACACATACACACATATACACAGAGGCATACCAAACACACACACACACAAACACACATATACACAGAGACACAGTACACACACCATACCACACACATTCTATACACACACACCACAAAACAAAAAACAAAAAACAAAAAAAACACCACACACACCACATCACACACACAGGTAGAAATTTAAGAAGAAAAAAATTTTGTAATGAAATGTTCGTTTCTGTCAGTCTAGAAACACATTCTCGAATTTACTTTTGTGTGTAATCTGTGTGTTTTGCACAGGTCTTCTGACCAAGGTGCACTCCAGATTGAACAGGTCAGCAGTGGAACAATCTATGTTCAGAGAGCTTCCACTTAAAAATCTTAGTTGGCCTATTTAAATACTAACTTTTGGTTTAATTTTCTTGAGAAACTCGGAAAACGTCACATTTTTATTTTTATGTGGTAGTTTTCCCCAAGTTGAATTTCGTTTTTATGGACTCAATAAAAAATAGATCTCATTCTGAAGGGAAAAGTTTTTCCCCAAAACTAGAACCTAAGTGATGTTTTAAGATCACCACCTGGAAATTCTGAAGTTGGAATCTTTTAAAACCATTTTTAAAACATTTTACCTGCCCTAATTCAATAATTGACTTATTTGATAATTCTTTTCTCTGATTAGATTCTGTTGCCTTTGCCTCATGGAAGAAAGCTGTGGTTGGTAAAATGAGCTGATTCTAGATCTGTACGAAGCAAATATGTGGTGCCAGGGTTCACTGTGGGTCCACTATAGATATGTACATATGTGCAGGCACACCTGCATGCACACACACATAAGCACATGCACACATGTATGTGCCAGGCTCACACACACGTACAGACATGCACACACAAATATGTGCCAGGCTCACACACAGACATGCACACACAAGCACACACCTATGTGCCATGCTCACATGCACGTACACACATACACATCACATGTGCATATGTGCACATCACAAGACACGCATGCACACATACATATGTACAATTAAATGGCACCAAAAATGGAAACTTATTTTCAGTGATTGAAAAACTGGTTTTGGAGCCTTGTGCTGATGAGATTGTAGTGTCAGAGAGGCGATCCCAGGGAGCAGGAGTGAGAACAGAGACGAGAGGCTCCCGCAGAGGCCTGGGAAGCCGTCGGAAGGCTGTACTATTGATCTATGAAGTGTCAGCTGTGGCCCTGGGACCGGCCCTCTGGGACCTGCTGGGAGCATGAGCATTGCCTGTGAGAATGGTCTGCTGAGATCACAGGAGAGAAGGCTCTTTCAGCACCTTGGGGTAGGGATGCTGGGGCGACGAGTGCCCTGCACTCTGGGCTGGGTGTCTGCTATGCAAGCCCACTGTTGCCACAGCCATGCCGGGTGACAGGTCACCCACGCACGGTGGCTTACGAGACGGGCGTCTGCCATCATGCCGGGGTGAAGTTCTGCTGATGGGGGAGAGAGGAGCAGGCATGAACATGGGGTGGGGGTTCCACTGAACAGACAGGATCTGGGAGGGTCCTAGGAGGCAGGAAGCGGTGGAGCCACAGGAATTGTGTCCATGCTGCTCACACAGATGAGGGCCCTGAGGGCTCAGCGGGACAGGGTGGCCACAGTGGGGTCTGTCCAGCCTCAGCAGCTGTTCAGAACCATTATCACCTGAGCAGGGCAGAGACAGACCCGTGAGAGCATTTAGATGAAAAGCATGTGGGCGTGATGTAGAGTCGGCCTCACTGCGGCATCCCCCAGGTGGAAGAGTTTGGTTAGTTGAAGCTGCAGGTTCTCTCCTCATTCTTTCTATTTAGACAGTGCAATGGTGGCAGATGCTGCTGCCTGATAAACTGGTGGGAAGAGTGTCTGGCTGTGCCTGGGAGTGTGATGCTCACCGCACCGTCTGGGCCTCGGCCGCGCCCCCACCTCCCAGCATCCGCTCACACCTGGACACGAACGTCCCCACACACAGAGGGCCAGTCGCCCACTCTCAACTGCTCCCACTTCTCTTCACATCATTCGTTCACTCCCCATCCTGTATTATTTTTAAGGATTTTCTATTTGATATTCTGTGTAACAGCAATACTGAAAATCATGTTACCTGACACTGTATTTAATATTTATTTATGGCCAGCAAAGTGACATCTCAGTCTGTCTTATCTCCTTTCATATTAAGCAGTAAGTGTGCGGAACTGGAAAGCTGGATGATTTTGTAAGTCAGTTTGAAAAGTCCGCTTGCAGCTCTATGGAAATAACATGATAGGACATATGCCTGTGCAATCTAACTCTCCAGAAATAACACGATAGCACATATTCCTGTGCACTCTAACTCTCCAGAAATAACACGATAGCACGTATTCCTGTGCACTCTGACTCTCCGGAAGTAACACAATAGGATGTATTCCTGTGCACTATAACTCTGTGGAAATCACACGATAGCACGTATTCCTGTGTACTATAACTCTATGGAAATAACATGATAGCACGTATTCCTGTGCACTCTTAACTCTCTGATAATCACACGATAGCACGTATTCCTGTGCACTCTAACTAACTTCGAACAGAAGTTACTGTATGAAAATCCCAAAACACCTGCTGGTTCTTCCTGGTCCAGCAAGCCCTGGTTCAGGAAAAACAGCTCCATGTACTGGAGCCTCATTTGGAGCCGATGAGGCCTCTGGAGAGCCTCACCCCAGCCCTGCCAGCATCACCACCGAGCAGGCACGGTACCTGGACTACCGAAGGCTGCCCCCTGTCCCACCGAGCCCACAGCTTCAGGGTGGTGGGGACGTGGTGAACTCGGAATTCCAGGAGCCAGGGCCCACGGCTGCCCTTCTTTGGCTGCGCAGTGAGGTCCTTGGTCGGAAGCAATGCCGTGTGGACCCCATGGTGGGGTGGGGCTTTCTGAGTCAGGGATGGCCGTTTGGGCCACAGTGTGGCACACAGGGAAGGCAAATCCATGCCCCAGAGTGTCTGTTCCAGTCAGGACAGAAAAGCTCCCCAGGGAGCTACTGCTCCCTGATGGAAGCCGTGGATGTGACCACCTGCCCCAGGCAGCTGGCCGACCCCAGGGGAATGGTGCCACCTTGGGGCTCTGTGCTGGCCTCTGCTGCCAGCTGATGGCACTGGGCGGTGGTGGTAACCGGTCAGCGTTGGTGGGTGGCGTCCACGGTGCTGAGTCCAGGATCACTGCCTGAAGTTCTGACCACTGGGGGGATTTCGCCTCCCCACTGCCCTCAGGGATGTCTTGGGCAGGGGCTGCGGTGCTGCCATCCCCCACTTCTGGGCGATGCCTGCACATGGCATAGAACCTTCTGGAAAACTGGCCCAAGTCTACTTGTCTTCTGTCAACTGATCTAGGGAATTCTCCATGAGGCCACAGGTACAGGAGAGAGATAGCCGCGTGGCAGGAGTGGGGACCAGGGATGTTACTTCCTCACTCGTGCCTTCGGGGCTTACACCAGAACCGTGTACACACCACATCCATTTGGTGACGAGAGCAGCTGTGCATGCCGGACTCTATGGCATTGGGGCGTAAGATAAACCCGGCTCATGTGGCAGCTCAGGGCCCATGGTTACATGTGCAGTTTCTACCAGGGCCCAGCAGCAGGCCAAGTTCACACATGAACAACATGACTGCAGGGTTCATGAACACAGCACCAGTCTCCGCCATATAGGGCCTAAGTAGTGTCCCCCAGTAAAGCTTTATAATTTTGTCTGCTTTATCTTGAATACAGTAGCCTCTCCTATCAGTGGAGGAAGGCTGGCAAGATACCCAGTGGGTGCCTGAGGCAGTGACTAGCACCAACCCCCACTAGGCTCCAATTTTCCTGCACACACACTGACGGCAATGTTTACGTATAGATTAGGCACAGCGAGAGATCACAAACAGATAATAAAACAGAACAATTTTAACTACATACTGTAGTAAAATTTAAGTGAACGTGGTCTCCCTTTTTCTCAGAATCTCTCACTGTACTGTACTGAGTTGTTTGTGGGGCAAGGTTGACCACAGGTAACAAACCTGGGAAGGAGAAACCTCGGGTAATGGGGAGACTACGGCATCCTGAGAGCCGTGTTCGCGTAGACTCTACATTTTCACTGTGGCTGTACGTGATTATTTTAAATTATATTTTTAACCGTTTAGGGGTCTAGGGATGTGGTCAATATTGGAATGTTCATTATCGAGCCCCCTTCTTCATGAAATCTTTTTGTTTCTAATAATTTGACTTTATTATTAGTAGTTCTTTAAGTGATGGACATTTCCATCACCCTTCCATGTCTTGAACCTTCCTTTCCTTTCTTCTGTCATCTACAACTTAGAGTTCCTCCATGGCTCAGTGGGAGCGCCGGGGGGCAGGCCTCCCTTTCCAACCCCAGCTCATCTTCCCCATGAAGGCCCATGTCATCTATGGGGTTGATAAGCGTATTACATGTGAGCGCATGCTAGAATGAGTGTGTCATGTATGAGCGTGTCATGTGTGTGTCATGTTACCGTGTCGTGTGAGCATGTCATGTGTGAGCATGTCCGGTATGGGTGTGCTATAGTGTGTCATATGAGTGCATCATGTATGAGCGTGTCGTGTGTGAGCGTGTCATGTGAGCGTGTCGTGAGCGTGTCATATGTAAGCGTGTCATGTGTGAGCGTGTCACGCGTGAGCCTGTGCCATAACGAGGTGCTGACCTGATGTGGTGTTTCCCCGCAGATCACTGTGAGGAGCCCCTCGTGTCCACCCTACCCTCGTCGTCCTTCAGCAGCTCCTCCGAGCTGTCCAGCAGCCACAGTCCCAGCTTCGCCAGACTGAACCGGAGAGACGGTAGGTCCACTTCCCATCTCTTACTGATCCATGGTGGAGCTCATACAGTTTCAAGAATCAGCATCGCTTTTGCTAAGGGGTCATAAGTAAATTACTCAATGCGCAGAAAATAAAATTCTGAGTATTATTCAAACAGGTTTGCAGGTATGTTTCTGTTAGAAATGCATAGCGTGTAAATGTTCTATCCATAGATCAAGATTGGCAGTGCGGGTTTCTCTCTGTACTGGTCTGTGGAGGGGACTGGGCAGGACAGGGCACGGGTGGCATGTGCCTAAGCATTGAGTATACCCAGTTCCATATGAAAATGTGCACAGGAAATGGCATACACCAGGTTCTATTTATCTTGGAAAACGTATTTTCTATCACAACTATTCAATTTTTTGGGTACACAAGCCGCATTGAGTTGTTCTTCAAGTCGAACAGAACTGGAAGCCGTCATTTCCATCACAGCTGTGGTCATTTCCATCACAGCTGTGGTCATTTCCATCACAGCTGTGGCCAATTCCACGAAACTCGGAGGGTTTAAAACAACTGAGATTCATTCCCTTGCAGTTCTGGGGGTCAAAGTCTGCAGTGGCGCTCACGGCACTAAGGTCAAGGTGTGGGCAGGGCTGGGTCCTTCTGGAGGCACCTGGAAGCATCTGTTTCCTCCTTCCCATGCCTGGAGGCACCTGTTCCTTGGCTTATGGTCCCTTCCCCAGCTTCAAACCAGCAATGGCCACGGAGTTTTCTCTCCATCCACCCCTCTAGCCCTGGTTCTATCTTCGTCTTTCCCATTTAAACATGTCTGGGTCAGATGATACTACCTCCTTCCCCCTGGATACCAGGATGGCATCCGGGTCAGATAACACTGCTCCCCACTCCCTGCTGGATACCAGGATAGCGTCCTGGTCAGACGACGCTGTCCCCCACCCCTGGATACCAGGATAGCGTCCTGGTCAGACGACGCTGCCCCCCACCCCCTGGATACCAGGATAGCGTCCTGGTCAGACGACACTGCCCCCCACCTCCTGGATACCAGGATAGCGTCCTGGTCAGACGACGCTGTCCCCCACCCCTGGATACCAGGATAGCGTCCTGGTCAGACGACGCTGCCCCCCACCTCCTGGATACCAGGATAGCGTCCTGGTCAGACGACGCTGTGCCCCCCGCCCCTGGATACCAGGATAGCGTCCTGGTCAGACGACGCTGCCCCCCGCCCCTGGATACCAGGATAGCGTCCTGGTCAGACGACGCTGTCCCCCGCCCCTGGATACCAGGATAGTGTCCTGGTCAGACGACACTGCTCCCCACCCCTGGATACCAGGATAGTGTCCTGGTCAGACGACGCTGCCCCCCGCCCCTGGATACCAGGATAGTGTCCTGGTCAGATGACTGGCAGCTTTCATGCCTTGTTGCCACACAAGAGAGCCCCAACCTAGCTTCTGGGGGCAGATGTGGCATCTTCCGTGGGCTAGTGCTCTGCCCCCCACCGAGAGCTAGAAGAGTGGTCTTAAAAAATGCTTGCCAATTAAAAGCAAAGCAAAATTAATCCCTTCTCTCTGTCGAGAGTGCAAATGTGAAACTGCGTTTGTGGCCCTCTGGGCTCATTTTATTCCCATAGTCGAGGCTTCTTCTCTGGGAGTGTGCTGAGCGGTGTGTGCCCCTGCTTAAAGACAAATGCACAAAACTGAGCCCCAAGTTGCTCTGGAGAAAGGAAGGGGTATAAAACATACAGAGACAGGGACGAGAGTGCTGCAATTCTTGCAATGTAGTGTGTGAGAGAACATCTGTGCACAGATTCCAGGGAGATCCAGCTGGCCCAGTGCTGCTCACATGGGGGGTGCCTGTGCAACCTGGGCCAAGTGGGGAGGACCCAGGACCTTAAGGCCGTGTGGGGAGGACCCCAGTGCCGTGTGGGGAGGAATCTCAGGCCACATGGGGAAGGACCCTAGGGCTGCATGGGGAGGACCCTCAGGCCATGTAGAGGGGACCCCAGGACCCTAAGGCCACATGGGGACGACCCCAGGGCTGTGTGGGGAGGAACCTCAAGCCATGTGGGGAGGACTCTAGGGCCACATTCCACGCTCACTCTCCTGTTTCCTTCTCATCTGTGTGGAGCTGGTGCTCAACACTGGACTACATTTACTACAGTGAACATTGGGTGACACAAAAATACATAATTTGTATTCAATGTTTTGATATTTTACATTTTAATACAGGCAGACTGGTAGATAAATGATGATGTTTCCAAAGTGCTTATTACTGCACAGATGTGCACACATGTGATGACACCTTGTCATTTTATATTTTAAATTACAATTTAAAAATTATTTCACTATATAAGGGATCTTTGGTGAAGAGGTGGCATGAGCTGTGTGAACATAGAGGTCTCTGGCATTTGTGTTGGATACCAGGTAGGAACGGGAGTCCTGGGTTCCTGTGGGAAGTATCTCACCGTGGGTCATGGCTGTGCACTGCGGTTGGCCTCCCACTGTGACTGCCTCGTGGGACAAGCAGTCAGGGATCCCACGGCTTCCCCTGCACAAAAGATTCTAAGCAGAAACAGGGGCCTCCCTGAACTTGGGCTGACACAGCAGCAGGGGCCTCCCTAGGCTCAGGTCGGGACCCCAGCAGGTAAACTCGGCCTGGGACCCCAGTAGGGGCCTCCCTGGACTCGGGCCAGGACATTAGCAGGGGCCTCCCTGGACTTGGGCCGGGACCCCAGCAGGTAGACTTGGGCCAGGACCTCAACGGGTAGACTCAGGCTGGGACCCCAGCAGAGGCCTCCGTGAACTCCCGCTCTCCTGCGGCTCTGCTTCCCCTCCACTCACAGGTGTCCCAGCCTCAGCTCATCATGGGCCCCATCTGACGTTTCTTCCTGGGGTGCTGCCCCCACAGGACTGGGCCCCTTAAATGACAGCATCCAGGGAGGCTGAGCTCCAGTATGAGCCCCACACCTAGGACCCCTTGCCCTGCAGCAGTGCTCCCCAACCCTCCCCCACTCCCCACACCCTTGCTGTTGCTTTCTCACCACTCCCTCTGGCAGCCCTGGCAGCCCCGCCTTCACACCTGAGCTCACCCCACCTTCACACCTGAGCTCACCCCACCTTCACACCTGAGCCTGCCCTGCCTTCACACCTGAGCCCAGCCTACATTCACACCTCAGCCCACCTCACCTTCACACCTGAGCCTGCCCTGCCTTCACACCTGAGCCCAGCCTACATTCACACCTCAGCCCACCTCACCTTCACACCTGAGCCCGCCCCACAGGATCACAGCCACAGGGCCGACCTGGTGCCATTCTCTGTTCAGAATGCACTCAAAGGAGCTATTCCACGCATGCTTAATTTGGCAGTCTTTCTTTTTCTTCAAATGATATTATTTGAGCCCAATTACATCTGAATTTCTAATATCTGTCTCTAAGTGGATTAGCTTTATCCCTGAACACAAAGCAAGATGCGATTACAGCCACATTCCTTGGCCAACTGGCTTATCCACACTGTCACAGCAAAGAAAAGGGATATTTTTGTGCCACTGAAACACAACAAAAGGAGAAATAGTTTAGGAAAATTCAGTGTTCATTCTTATGAGTCGTAATCATTGTACTCATTTAGGAGACACACAATCTTTTTTCTGGAAATAAGCTAGAAAAGTCTATACTTCAATCAATTACTCTCAAAGTTTTCACAGCTTATGCAATGAAAGGGGATAACATACTGAAATCACTAAGCTTATCCTCCGCGCTTCTGTGTAAATTTAGGAACAGATATACGTCTGGGTTCATTGCTGGCAGGGTGAGGTCGTCAGCCTGAGTGGCTCGAGGATCAGGGTCCGCCACGACAGAAATCATTTTAAGTCTCTATTTTCCCAGAGCTCATAATGAAGCCAGATATCAACCTCAATGAATTTTATTTGCATGTTAATTAAGTTTAAACCAGCCCATTTTAATTATCTCTTACTTGTTAATTCATTGTTTTTGATTGGGCTTTATTCTATTTTTCTCCCTCTTGATAGCCTGCAACCCTCAAGAAAGAATTGCAAATTGAGAGTGAGTTATCAGAGGCCGCAGAGCATTCTGGTGTCTTCGCATTTCTCATTGGGTTGGGATTGGGCTGTGAATGACGGCTGCACGAGTGATCTGGGCACTAACGAGGACACCAATAAAACATAAATTACTCAGCATCAGGAGCACGTAAAAACATTAGGTTTCCACAGCCATGCTGGGACCTCACAGTGAGAGAAGGAATGGGCAGAAAGCCAGCAATGCTCCAAGCACAGCATCTTCCCTGTGGACGGAATCCACTCCAAGACCCCAGGGGGTGCCTGGAATCTTGGGTGGCACCAACACAGAACACGCTGCTGCTTGTATGCACAGATCTACCATCAAGTTTAAATACAAAGCGGGCAGAATAACAGGCTAACAACAAAACTAATAATAACATAGAACTATAACAAAATATTGTAATACAAGTTATGTGAACGTGGTCTCTCTCCCTGAAAATATCTCATTGTATGGCAGGCCCCTTCTTGAGACGCTCACATGCCCATCTCCTGAGAGAGGTGAGTGACCACACATGCTGAGCCATGGGCCACACGACACGTTTCCCTCTGTGGTGGTCCCCGGTCCCTACGCCCTCTGCAGCCGTGGACCACGTGACACCTTTCCCTCTGTCCCGCCCCAGGTCTTCACGCTCTCTGCAGCCGTGGACCACGTGGCACCTTTCCCTCTGTCCTGCCCCAGGTCTTCACGCTCTCTGCAGCCGTGGACCACGTGACACCTTTCCCTCTGTCCTGCCCTGGGTCTTCACGCTCTCAGCAGCCGTGGACCACGTGACACTTCCCTCTGTGGTAGTCCCAGGTCCACACGCTGTGACGGTGTTGGTGGTCCGGCCTCAGCAGCAGGCAGTGTCCATGACTAATGGTCACCCAGACGGCTGAATACACTGGATGAGGGGGTGATTCACATTGAGGCCAACTTCACCAGGCTTCTTAGAGCAGGGTGAGATTTAAACTCGTGA